TTGAAATAGACGTTTGCGAGTTTTAAATATTCCGTGCGGGTATACAACTAGCGGATCCAAGGTTCTTCCTGCCTTCCACTATAGATATATTTTTGGGGGCTGACGTTTTTTGGAACATTTTGGGACAAATCAAATTAAGTTAGGGTCAAATAAACCTACTTTACAAGAATCACAATTAGGGTGGTTAATAGCCGGCCCACTCGGTAACAGTCAATCCAAGTCTGAGGTCTATTGTTATTTCAATCAGTTTTCGAATATTGATAATTCCCTGAAGAAGTTTTGGGAGATTGAAGAACTACCTGCAAAGACAAAAACATACTCATTAGAGGAGCAGTTTTGTGAAATTGAGTTTATAGAAAACACAACTCGCTTATCCGATGGTCGGTTTTGTGTACGTATGCCCTTAAAGGAACCTGAAACTAGTCTTGGTGATTCATACTACATGGCAAAGAAACGTTTCTTAAATTAGAATTAAAATTAAATAAAAATCCGAAACTTAAGGAGTCATACACTAGATTCATAGAAGAATATAAAGAATTAGGTCACTTAAGTGAGGTAGATCGCCCAAGATTTGGCAATTACCTTCCACATCACTGTGTACTTCGCGAGAACAGTGAAACGACGAAATTGAGAGTGTGTTTGATGCCTCAGCTAAAACATCATCTGGCAAGTCATTAAATGACATACAGGCGGTAGGCCCAGTAGTGCAGTCCGATTTATTCTCTATTTTGTTACGATTTCGCGGGCACAGGTTTGTTCTCTTAGGAGATATTGAGAAAATGTACAGACAAACTGCCTTGCATGAATCTCAACGTCACCTTCAGTTAATTTTGTGGAGGGATTCATCCGTTAGTACGGAACCAAATAATAATGGAAATTTAAAGGTTCTACAATTAAACACAGTAACGTATGGGATGGCCAGCGCTCCGTTTTTGAGCACCAGATGTCTATTACAATTGGCTAAGGAGTGTAATGATGACGTTATTGCGAGAATAATAAAAAATGATTTTTACATTGACGACTTAAATACGGGTGCGAATAGTGAAAGTGAATTACAGAATATATATGTGAATGTTAAAAAAAATTTTAGATTCAGCATGTTTTCCCTTAAGAAAAATTCGTACTAACTGTTTGCACGCACTTGATTGTGATGATAGTGTATTCGACCCGGTAAATTTGACTAAAGAATCCAGCGTGCTGGGTTTAAATTATTCTCCAAAACTCGACATCATTCAATTTCCCGCGAAGGTGGAATCGCCACCGCAAATTGTTACAAAAAAGGTCGTAATAGCTACTATTTCTAAAATATTTGATCCGTTGGGATTAATTTGTGCATGCATTATTAAAACTAAAATATTTTTACAACAATTATGGGTCATAAAATTAAATTGGGACGACCCCATACCACAAATTCTATTGGATACGTGGTTAAAATTTATTTCTAATTTACATTACATTTCTAATATTAAAATTAATAGATATGTTCTTTGCGATAACCCCGTGTCAATAGAATTGCATTGTTTTGTTGATGCGTCACAGAAAGCATATGCCTCATGTGTATATTTACGGTCAACAAATGAAAAAAATGAGGTCACTGTTAGACTTTTGTGCGCAAAGGCACGTGTTGCACCCTTAAAACCTATTACTATACCGAAATTGGAATTACTTGGTACTTTGCTGGGAGCTAGATTATGTGATAAAATTATACAGTCATTACGATTTATAACTAACAAAACTATTTGGACAGATTCGACAGTTGTCTTAGGTTGGCTAAGAACTGATGTAAGAAATCTTAAAATGTTTGTCTGCAATAGGGTTAATGAAATTAACGAGCTAACAAGTGGTTTCGAACACAGACATGTACCTACGAATATGAACCCAGCTGACTTGGCCTCAAGAGGAGTTGAACACCAGGACCTTTTATCTTCTTCATTGTGGTGGGAAGGTCCTTCTTTCCTACAGAAGGAGCGTTCAGAGTGGCCACAGAATTCTTTCGTAGTTCAAAACTTACCTGAGTTAAAGGTACATTCTTTGATAGCTGCATTGGACAATTCTGATGACGGTAGTTTATTTATAGAATTTAAAAGGTACTCGAGTTTCAATAAAATAAGTAGAATATTTGCCTATGTGTTACGTTTTGTTAACAATTGCAATAAAAACAAACATAAATATTCAGGCCCTATAAGTTCAGACGAAATAAATAATTCAGTGGTATTACTAATAAAAAAATGTCAAGTACAATCGTTTCCTTTTGAAATTGGGTTACTCAGGCAAGGAAACAATTACCACAAAAGAGTAAATTACTACAGTTGACTCCATTTGTGGATTCACACGATATAGTTCGAGTGGGTGGTCGTTTGGGAAACTCAACTTATAATTTCGATAAGAAGCACCCTATACTATTACATTCAAAACATCATTTTACCAAGCTATTAATGATTAATGAACATATACGTTTGTTCCACGCAGGTCAACAGCTGCTGTTAGCGTCAGTGCGTGATAAATACTGGCCTATTGGTGGAAGATGTTTAGCGCGGCAAGTAGTTAGACAATGTATTATTTGCGTTCGTCTAAGAGCGGATACGATGCAGCCAATAATGGGTCATTTACCTGAGGCGCGTACAAATGCTTGTTTTCCTTTCTACTCGTGTGGAGTTGACTTTGCTGGACCTTTCATGATTAGTAACCGGAAAGGTCGTGGTAATCGTATCACTAAATGTTACTTATGTTTATTTGTTTGCCTCAGTACAAAGGCAATACATTTAGAGCTGGTGAGTGAATTGAGTACTCAAGCTTTTATTTTATGCCTAAAACGGTTCATATCACGTAGAGGAAAATGTCATGAGATTTTTTGCGACAACGGCAGGAATTTTGTGGGTGCGAACAATGAACTGGGTAGGTTGCTTAGATCCAGCCGTCAGTCTGTTAGTGATTATGCTACTTCTGAAGGAATCAAATTTGTATTTAGCCCCGCATATTCTCCCCACTTTGGTGGTATATTTGAAGCTGGAATTAAATCAGCAAAATTTCACTTAAAACGTGTAGCTGGAAATGCTGCTTTGACGTTTGAGGAGCTAGCAACGCTATTTGCGCAAATCGAAGCTATCCTTAACTCACGTCCGCTGACTCCTCTCTCGTCCAATGTTACTGATCCTTCTCCTCTGACCCCAGGCCACTTCTTAATTGGGAGACCACTTACGTCTATTCCGACGAAGCCCATCACTGCTACTAGACCAAACAGATACGAGCTTATTGAGAAAATAAGGCAGCACTTCTGGGAGCGGTGGCGCCTTGAGTACATCTCCGAGTTGCAGCAACGCACCAAATGGCGCACCGGGCAACAAGGCCTCGCCTGCGGGGACGTGGTGGTACTGAAGGAGGACAACTTACCGCCATTACAATGGCGGATGGGGCGTGTGTGTCGCCTCTACCCAGGGGCCGATGGCGTTAGTAGGGTGGCTGACGTCACTACTTCGAGGGGCATTATACGAAGGGCTATCAATAAACTATGTCTTCTGCCCACTTCAGAATCGAAAGATGACAACGAACCAGAGGGAGGCGTCCCGAGGCTCCAGACCTCGTCTACTTCTTGAAAGCTAATGCTTTCAACGCGCCGGAGGATGTTCACGCATCTAACGTGTGGACCACAGCGGCGGGAGACGCGGCGGGCGGGGGACGCACACAGCTGATCGGGCGCACCGCCGCCGCGCCCCGATCGGCTCGCAGACAGATTTGGTCAGCGACAGAGGTGTCGTGCTCGAAGAAATTACTTATATATTTAATCGATCTGTATTAAAGTAATTAGTTATCTAAAGCGAGTCGTTCATTATTAAATCCTGAACAATTTGAAAGTTTGATCTTTTATACATCTTTGTATTACCTATTCCACTAAATCCAACTAAAACAGAATTACGTAAAATCTACAAAACCGTGTATCGCCAACAAAAGATCTCAAAGAAAGTTTGCTCCTCCTTTCGGCATTCACAATGGTATTACAGGCAGGATTCAACGAAATGGGACGGAAAATCGCTTTGATGCGTAAATAATTGAAAGTTAGATGTAAAATTGGGGAAGCCGATTGTTGGTCTGGAATATACCCAAAGTCTTAGGATTGTATCGGACGTGTCGAATAATTATGGACAGTGAAGTGAGTGCTTTGCCGTCAGGAGTCGAGAGTCGAGAGTCGGGAGTGTGCTCTTATGAACGGGACGTGCGATCGATACCGCACTAATGAGCCGTGACATGTTGTCGACAATCGACATGTATGTATTGAATGCGTCGGACCCAGCGCCGCGTCGTGCCGCGCCACGCCGCGCCGGTCCAGCGAACGCGTACTGGCTTGCTAGTCTGGGCTGTGTTACGCTCCGTACATTCCCTAACGTCGCAGTTTTCAGCATCGAATGCCTGTTCAAATACCGATTAGCTTACTCTTCCTAAAATTATTTCTGTAAAATTAGTACATTTCTGATACATACCTGAATAGTTAATGTTTTCAACTGCGGCTAAGGATTTTTGGGGTTTAAACAATTTTGATCGAATTTAACTAACGTACTTATGAAGTATGTTATTTATTTATTTTTTATTTATAGTACTGTCTTAAAGTTCTGTTTTAATTTCAGTACTCTGTGGTAAAATTCTGAAAGATTTTCTAAAATCACTAAGTTTAAAATATACGAAATAGTAGATTTCAAGTCAAGTACCTCCTAAAAGTAGTTCACATTTCAGTAGTTAAGAACAACGGCATTTGTGTTTCGTGAAGGCGGACAGCGGTCGGTGGCGGCACTGGCGGCGCCGCACTCACCGCTCGACGCGCCCGACCGGCGCGGAACATTACTCAGCCACTATCTGATGTCGTCTGCTAATTGACTAGAAATACAGATAAACGCTATTTTTACTCCGCCATAAATCTTCAAATACCTTTTCTGACTTTCTGATCAATCATTCTTAAGAAATCTTTATCTAAAGTGTGAACAGACTGCACTGTATTTGAGTAGGGACAAATAAAATAAGAGATTTCGAAAGGCAAATTTTATTCATGGTCCAACGTATACACAATGAACGGACCCTTTCAATGTAAAATTTCGCATTATTTATGTTCACTCGCATATATTACAATATTTACAAATGGATACACTCACTTAATTGAACACCGAGGGCGGTTAACTACTCGCGAGAAAGACGAGCGTGGCTGCGGTGAGCGCCAGCTGAGGCGAGGAGAGCGCGTCGCGCGGTCGTGCACCGGCGCCGGATGCGCGAGCGCGCGCGCTACCGCCCGCCTCGCCCCGACACCCTGCACTCCCAGCACTCACGCTGCCCAACGTACGACCACGCACTTTCAGTGGCGATATGCAGAAATTCTCTTCTGGGAAGTCTGACGTGAGAGCTAGTGGATTTGAAAGTGGGTCCCGGCCGCACTCACATGGCACGTGGTTCCCGCGTATCACAATATTCTCAACTTCTAAAATTACCGCCTCCGGAGTCTCCAGCATGTGATTTCCAGTTAATTTAAATGTGGTTACACTGTTATTTTGTACCAGAGAGAGCTCTTCGATACCATCTATTTTATTATTGCAGATTTCCAATGTATCGACGCGCTGTAAACCATCAAATGCACCAACCCGCACGATACCCAGATCAGACTCTCGAAGAGCAAGCCGTCCAACTCGCACCAGCCCGCGAAAAGTATCTGACAGTACTGCTGGCAAATCCATGTATGCGAGTTCCAGTACCCCGACTCCTTCCAGCCCAGCAAAAGCTTGAGGCTCGATAGATCTTATACCCGACGGCAGTTCAATCTGTGCTACGTCGTTAAGCCCCGAGAAGGCATGCGCTAAAATACGTTTAATTGGATTATTTCGTAGGGAGATGAGCTTTATGAAATTAGTTCCTGCGAAAGCATATCCCTCAATTTGAGCTATTCTGTTATGTGTTAAGACGATAGAACTGATATTCTGTAGAGCGGCGAATGCAAATGCATCGACAGTGGCGAGCGGAGTGTGCTGGATGTAGAGCTCGCGAAGCCGCGGAAGGCCCCGGAACGCAAAGGGGCGTATGCGTGTGAGGTTGCAGGCGTCGAGCGCTAGGCGCCGCAGCTGTCGGAGGTGCGCGAAGGCGTCGGAGCGCAGCACGCGCAGGTCGGCGCGCGACAGCGACAGCTGCGTCACGCTGGCACTCAGCGCTGACGGCACGCCGCGCAGCGTGGCGCTGTTGCACACCACCTGCCATCAAACAGTACGCGTTAGTAAACATTTCGCGTTGTAATCAATGTTATATCCTCCTCAAATATTTTCCAACACCGAGTCCGTGACAAATAACAATCCTACAAAAATGATTGAATTATCAGTTTCGCCGTGTCACGCCCTAAGCATTATTTCCACTGTTTGCTCGGTCAATACGGTTAATCCTTCCCGAAATATTGTCATCGACGCTCACAGGCCGAAGTCCATATTTTGATTGAATTGTTCCAACTTAAGCTTCGCACATAATCGACCAAAACAAATATCAATTTGATTCATCCCCAAAGGTACAATCATATAAAGCATCAATATCGAAGCTTCAATTCAATTTAGTAGGTGCGTACCAATTCAATTTACGTGTATTAGTGGCCTGTTTGTCCATCGAATCGATATAAATACGAGGCACGTCTCGTCATACACTCAATTATATGACTTTTATAGATCATTTGCCGATAAAAATTCTAATGTATTAAATACTGGCGTCAAACTGAGCTGAATTTTTAAGAAAGATTGATTGGTAGGTTTAGGACATAGTGGCTCTACAAAAGTAGTAACTAGATCCAGATGAAACGTAGATAAAAACGTTAAGATTATCTCCGGAAAAGAAACCTAACAATTTATCCATTTCAGAAGCTGAGACAAGGGCGGATTTCAATCGTGAAGATTACAGTCTCTAATTTCAATTTAATCCAATAATTTAAGATTCCTTTGCCTTCAGCTATGTACCGTAAAATAGTATTAAATTCGGTGAACTGAACAACTGAGAAATTAGTTTGTAATGTGATTGGAAATTGTTGTAAGACTGAGATAGTAACACAGGGATGTCTTTTTGTTCACCGGTAACAAGATTATAAGTCCAAAGAAACTTAATTTACAAAGTAAGTTTGACATTTTATGATGGTTGATAAAATAGGAAGCAATTAGAGGATATTTTATATTTTCACTTTGCTCGAAAACTTTTTCGAGTTATCAGAGTTGTTCACGTAAAAATACAAATGTATATTTCAAGGATTATCATAACTGAGTGCGGGAGCAGCAGATGGTCGAGGCACGGACTCGACGCTTAGAGTGGATCATTTTGGAACACCTTACTGTTTGAGTATGAGCCAAATTATATTCTTCACATGGCTATTTATGAAGTGTTGGGTAAAATTTTAATGTGTTTTTGTTTTGTGTGGCAAATAGGACCGTTAGATTTCATTTAGGACCAATCACAAACATAAATCTCTTATTCTTTTATACGATATATATTTTTATACGATATATTACGATATATATAGATACATAATCATAATTGGATCTTTAATTTTTAAAGCATGTAAACGTGTAGAACGTTATACACAAAAATTAATGGCATTCTACCTTGGCCCACTGCAAATTAGTCCTACTGGGACCGATTGACTTAATTAATAATTTATTTGTTAGAACCTTCTGCCCGCGGCTCCACCCGTCTTTCGGAAAGTATGCGTATGTGTTAGTCCAGTCCATAACTCCAAATTTCATCTCGATCTCTTTGGCCGTTTTGATTTGATTGAGTAACAAACATACACACAAACTCACAAACTTTCGTATTTATAATATTATAAGTAAGATTAATAAGATGTTTGTTACCATCGCAGAAAGATATTGAAGAAAACCACAAAGTTTTTTGAGAAGGGAAATAGCAACTGCTAAGTAACTTTGTACTAGGGACTCATGAAAGGCTTATTTTTCTTTGATTTATATATTTTATATATTTCTTATTTACCTGTGACTGTGACAGACAGATACAGTGCGTGGGGCAGGGCGGCGTGAGCGCAGGTGACAGGGACGGCGTGTGTGCGCGCCCGCCGCCGCACAGCGCGCCCCACGCCGTAGCCGTCAGCAACCACCGCAACACCCATCTACAGATAAATCATTATAATATAATACTTTGCCTATAATACAACTTTCATCGTTATCAACGAGGACTATCATCTAAAGAGGACGATACCTATTTATCTCCTTTAAAAATCTGCTTATAATATGAGTGACCCGGACGTGTTCAATGTTACAGAACAATATTACTGAGCAGGGTTTCAGTATGTTCTCCCTTATCGTAACTTATTGTTAAAACTAATACTTTAGAATAGGAACTACCATTACAATCTGGAACTCAAAACTATCGCATTTACTAATATCAAGTTTTGTTTTAATTAACTGAACAGAATTAATTAGGAAAATATTTAACTTTAATAACCGAAAATCGCGGGTTACTCACGTGAAAATACTGAGAAAAGGTCGCGGCGATGTCACGCAGCCTGGCTGGCCAGTACCGCGCACGAGGAAGAGCCCCTCTGTGGCTCGAAACTAGTAGAGTTTTTCTCAGCATTTTCACGTGAGTAACCCGTGATTTTTCGTTAAATTAGTATGTCTCACGATAGTTATTATAAAAAGAATATTTTTTGTATTTAGATACTGAAATTGTATATGTTCAACATTTCCAATACCCAGACTAAGTAATATTCAATCCTGTAAAGACATAATACAAAACAGAGCAACACAAAACACATTTCAGAATATGTGCCGTACACACGCAGTACACAGTTGTCACTGTTGTAAGCAGACACCGCAAAACAAACTTCCGTGAAATGTTGCTTCATTTTAACATAACGCGTTGGAGACGCGTGATTATTTGACTCCGTGTAAATGTCGGAAATATTATCCTAATATCCAGCTCATTTGTGAAAGCAATCAGGTGCTGAGAGCGGGAGTCTGGGTATTCAACAGGGAATTGGGGAGAATTTTACAAAATGTAGGCACAAACATATTGACAGGTATGTCACGTTTTCCATGGCGCTTACAGGTCTAATATGGGTATCTAATATACGTTTAGAAGTTTTTCTTTGAGCAGAATCTCAGTCGTATATACTTTGTAAATACCACTTGGTAAATGGTAAACACAATTTTTTTATCAAGATATTAGGAATAAGCTAGTGGTTCCGTTTCTTTACTCCCAAGTATAGAGTCTGTAGTATCTTTAGGTTAATGGCATTAAAACGCTAAGTATGTGTATAATAAGTCGTATTGTCACTGAAATTCCACGAATATTATCAAAACCTATGTCAAGTCCATACATTGAGTTTTCGACTAGAGCCTAAATGTCATTCGTCTAGGAGGACAGAAGCTCTAAATCATCTTAATTCCTCGTCAACGGTATCGTGAGATCATCCCGCAATCCAAATTGGATAGATGCGAGCATACGCCAGCTGGCCAACAATGGCGATAGATTGGAAGTGTTCGCGGGTTAAAAGCCGACTCTATACGTGGGCTGTCAAAGGTTGAATGTATAACTTATGACAGGTCGGGAACCTATCTTTGGATAATACTGGTTGGTATTGGTGTATTATGCCAAAGGATATATAATACATAATGACATACTTCACAATCTTGCAAAGTAATCATGTAACTTCGATCCTAAGTTTCGAGCTTCAAGCAGTTATGATTATATGACCAATGAACAAAAAATATTCTAAAAATAGTCTTATAATCAAATTAAAATTGTTAACTCTCAACCCCAAAACTCGCTTCAGAAAACTTGTTCTATTTCAAATTAAACTAAGAAATAAGTTTTTAGAGAATAAACGAACAATTCTGAAATAAATGATTAGTGTTTTTAACATAAAAACGAGTAAATAGTTCTTAATAAAAGTTCTTCATTGGATTGTAAATAATTCTGTACATGTTTGATAAAGTAACGTAAGTAAAACATTAAAGTACAACGAATATGGATTAAACTAACATAGTTTTGTTAAAACTTATTGTTATTGTTCACCGACTGGAATTCATCGAAGTTCAAACCGAATCATAAATTCAATTTATTTATACATAAATAGCTACTTATTTTTAATATTTAATCACAATATTTGAATTCAAAGTTATCTATCAGAATTCTATTCAAATGTCTCCGAGAGTCACCTCGTCCCAGTTATGGAACATGGACGTTACAAGCTTGTTTCTAGTTCAATATATTTGACTTTCGATAATGAATCTCAGCGCAACAGTTGTCCAACTTTACGATTAGGAGGTCCAAAGTTTGTATTCCAGTATCCAGTTAGTATTAACTCATAGCTTTAGTGTTAGTTATCTGTTAAATTGCCATAAACATCTGAACTTAATAGGGGAACAAATGTATAGAAATTCAATCTCCAATCTATGGAGCATGATGGATATACTCGTAATTATGGTAATTCCTATTTAGAGGCGCTCGGTGAGGCAAACTATGGGTTGGCTTACGCTGAACGGATATTTACCGGTTGACGTAATCTGTAGATTATTACTCAGGTAGATACAATGAGGTAAATCGATACACATGCACATAGAAGTCAAATTAACAAAAGAACTATTAAAATATATTGTACAGGTACACTGTATACAATATATATAATACGTTAGTTTTAATTCACTGTATAACTAGATACCTAGCCTTTTCAAATATTACTCTAGCTCAAACACAGCGTCCGTATTTGTGAATTTTTTATAAAATTGAACTTCCCGTAAAAACTCGAGCATGTTTGTATAAATATGAAATACTAAAAAAATCGTGCGCAATGCGAACGTATAGTCATTTCGAAATAACAGAATAAACATCCAACATTGCCAGGTGTTATTGTTACAATTGCCTACCTTTATTCGTTAATTTTAATCGAATGAAAACAACGTCGAATTGCTACCGGGCTCAAAGGTGGATATTCCCAGCTTTGATGTAGCATAGCAGCCTTAAGTTACTCGTACAAAAACATTGACTTTCATTAAGATCAAGTATTACTATCCGTAATTTGATTACTAATTAAGGGTGGACTACATTTATAAACAATGTGGGCGTTAAGACAATTACACTAATTACTTTAAGGACTTGAACGACATTCAAATATTGTAATGTTCTAGGAACAAGATTATAAATATATAACGACTTTTGTGTTAGTATTTTCCAAGTCAAACGCGTACGGTATGTTGAATTTCACTTTCAAATATGTATGACCATTTCCTTGAACAGAGGTTAAACATTCCTCATTACTTAGTCATCATAGTTAGTACAAGAGTATTTAAATAGAAAATGTGATTGTTTACCTGAGTCTGAGAGCCGGGGCCATGGGCGGACGCAGGCGGGACGCCCCGCCCGCCGCGCGCCCTCACCGGTGCTCCCCCATCACACTACAAATGCCTGTCAACAAATAATTAAATAGTTTGCGGACGATGTTAATGAGTGTTTGGGACAGAGGAAGCAGGTGGTGGTGGTCTACATAGATTTCAAAAAAGCTTTTGATACCCTGGAGCACCACCAGCTGCTTCAAGCAATGGGGGAATGTGGTGTCGCGGGGCCACTTAACAGGTGGTTCCGTGCCTACCTTACAAACCGGACGTTGCAAACGGTTATTGACGGAGTCGTTGGAGAACCCAGAAACGTTGCATGCGGTGTGCCAACCGGGTCCGTGTTTGGTCCGGTCGGTTACATCATGCATGTCAACAGTATGTGCAATGTGGTTCGAAACTGCCGCATGTACATGTATGCTGATGATACCTGCTTGGTGTATGCAGATAATGAACTTGATGTTATTGAAAGGTATATTCAGGAGGATTTCATTAATGTAATTAAATGGGCGCATGATAACGGGATCGTAATAAACATAAAAAAAACTAAATGTATGCGTATACGATCTCCTTATCTTAAAGTCTGTGAACGTCCGCCTCGCGTGGTGGGGCATAGCTATGAATGCCTGCATAACGAAGATGCGGCGTACTGCGCTTGTGCAAATATTGAGGTGGTGGAGGAATACAGATACTTGGGTTTAGTAATAGATAACAGCTTTTCGTGGAAAACACATATTACACTCCTTTGTGACAAACTCAGATTAGTGCTTGTAAAGTTCCACCACCTCAGTTTTGTACTGGACAGGGGCACTTTGTTTACGGTTTACTATGCACTGGTGGAATCGCTGCTTTCGTATGGACTGGCATGCTATGGTAATACATTTAAATCATATCTGGATAAAATAAAATTATTACAAATTAGATTTATAAAACTATTAGTAGACAAGAACACAAAAAAACGATGTAAAAATAGTGATTATGAAGAATTATTCTTAGAATGTAAGATATTGCCGATCCATCAAAAGGTGGTGTTATTACTGGCCATAGACAATTATTGTAAAGATGAGTTTAAAATCAAAGTGGTAAACAAAAGACCCCAAAGAGAGAAAATAAGTAAAAAATTTATAGTACCTACTACTGTTAACTATTATGGGCAAAGATGTAGAAAATGCTTAGTCCCAACAATATTTAATGATATTCCAGACTATTTGGAAAGTGAGTGTACTACAAAACTTTCCTTCAAAAACAAAATGGTGAAGTTCCTTCTCAACAAAGATTGTTAAGGTCTCCTTTCCTGTTTGGAGATATATAGATAAGTTTATGTCCTACTCAAACTACTTACCTGATAGAAAACTATTATGTGTGAATTAGAATGTCAAAGGTTCTTTTTTATAGTAATTTTATATAGTCGTATTATTTAAGGGAGCTACATCTGCCAACAAACTGTTTTGCAGTTTGGCAGAAGTAATATTGTATTTTTTTCCAACTATGTTTCTTACCTTGAATAAACGCTTCATTCATTCATTCAGTTACTTCATCTACTTCCGTGTACCTACTTACTAATCGCATTACTACGTCCGCAAATTAATCCACTATGATCCCTTGTAGGGCTTGCTCTACCTGAACGTAATTTTAAAATGGAATTTGTTCTTTTGTTAGTCTTTACGTAGCCTGACCTTTGAGAAATAAAAAGATATGTTAAAGTAGTAACATATCTTTCTTAGTAATCTCGGAGGAAACAACAGCAAAAGATCTAATTAACCTTTGAATATTCTAGGAGAACCATATATTTACTGAGCAGTATTAGGCGCAGTTACACACTGTTGTACATTTGGCTGATGGTGTACAGAGATAATATCTTAGTTGCCACTTACGATACCACGAAAAGAGACGTGGCGGCCATTTTCAGGCAGCGGCACACCTCATAAATTATGATGCCACATGTTTTTCGTAAGAGAGCGCTCTTTCAACTACACGAACGTGAAATCCGTTGTTTGCACTTAGACCTCGGTTTGCAATAAAAACTTGGATTAAATATTGCCTCAGTACATAATTACTAACAACTTGTTTACTCTTTCTTTTGCGCAGTTTGTAAACAGTTTCCCCCAGTTAACTTTTACAAGTTGCGAGGAATAATAAGCCTCTAATGACTCTGTTTTTATTTACAGTCGTTTCGTTTAATACATTTGTGTAGTGAATATTGTCTTCCGAATAGTGACTTAAAAAGTAAAATATTTTAAATATCATTTCTTAATCACTAGAAGAAAAGTACTAGACGTCAATACTTGCAAATGAAAAGCATACGGTATAATAAAATATATTGTCAGCCGGTGTTTTACGTAGTGAAAGAAAAATGCGCATATTCAAAATTCAATTATACTTAAACGGAAATTGAAAATGTCGAGATGATGGGGCCGCTGTCGTATCGCAGACCTGCTCCTCTTCAGCGTAAGTTTTCGACTCATAACTAGTTTCTGGTGCAGACTTATGTGACATGTTACATGACGACACATAAAATCACGCCTTTTATCCGTAAAGGGGTAGGCAATGACATTATGCCACTATACAATGTAACACTCACTTTTCACTATTTATGTTATGAGTCCCATGTAATAGGGGGTGAGCCTATTGCCATATACCGGGCACAATTCCAGACTCCGTGCTATAGCTGTGAATTTTTTGAAAAACCTAGTACTACTGCCCGACCCGGTAATCGAACCCAAGACCCCTTGCCCGGCAGTCGAACTTTCGACCCCGCGGCCTATGAGGCAGTTACATGACGACTATGGAGTAATATATTTTTTTAAATAATTAGTATGTCAACTTTATTGGATCTGTGTCCATAAATATGGTTCCGATCTCCCGGACAAAGATGTTCGCTATATTAAAGTAACTGAAATGTATATTAGCAATATATGAAAAAACAAGCTTAATGTTACATTGACCCCAATGTGTACGGCACACACACTCAGTATGAATATTACGGAATATTTACCGGGGAAAGTTAATCCATGACTTGTGTTGCATATACCTACGTGTGTAAGCTTTTTTGTGTCACGTCGTGTACCTACGTACATACAAAACGGCAGTTGGTATTCGTTTTTCAGAAACATAACGAACTGTATTAAATTGCTCATACTACAATTTCGTAAAAGCCAGACAGCACGCCACGCCTTGTTGAGCTTTTGTCACATTTTTACTTTAAAACCTAGGCTGGATTTAAACGAATGGTGAAAACTATTGTATTTTGTACGAATCAGAAAAACAAAGCTTGGTTTTTATTAAAAATGTAATTAAAAGAATCAAAACGTCCCACAGCTTCGTCATGTGAAACGTTCGCTTGCTGAATACTCTCAAATAAAATAAGAGCAAACATTTACCACGAATAAAATACAAAGCGTTACTTTCCGGAGTGTAGTCGAAATAATACGGTGGGAACATTGAAAGACCTACTATAAAGGCTTACACGTGATGACACACGTCTGAAGAGGTTCCTTGTAATACAAAACGCTTTGAATAATGTACATGTTGCATGCCAAAAACTTAAAATTGTACAAATACGTTTTGCGCTTCTTGTGGAGATTTCTCGCAAAGAATAGTCCCCCGGAGCGCCATTACCCCGCCCAAGGAAGACGCATACGCTTTTAAACTTAAACCACGCTTAAATTGCTCTCAAAAAAAATTATATTTTTTGCAGAATACACAGGAGGATAGAACATCGCTACTAATCATGCAGCAGAAAGCAATTTAAGATATGAAATATAAAGTTTCTTAGGTACCTATAAATAAAGAGTCGTATTAAAATGTGTAGAAAAATAGCTGGGGAAAGATTATATAAAAATATGTTACTTTAAATAGCTTAACTTTATTTGTGACTCCGCTTAAAATGGAGCTAGACGATGTTATTTTAAGGAGGTATATACTTTTAATAGCAATTTTGTAGGTATGATAAGCTATAAATAACGGTGGCATTAATATTTAACCGTTTTCTCAAACTATCGCGTAAGATTTCTTATGTATTTTTCTGGGTAAAGTGACACTGTTAGTTTAACATTAACATAAATCAAGAGCGCTATCCTTCGGCGGCCATGTTTTTATTTGACCGTCACCTGGGAACTAAAACAATGATTTCGTTTTATTTCATTTTATCGGCTTGTCGACCCGGCCGAAATCGTGTTTTTCTAAGTAATCTTTTTATCACTCTTTGTTATTTGATGTCGGGATAACTTATGAAGTTTACTTCGGTTTATTGGTCACAGTGTTAAACCGTGAGCGAGAGTCCTGAGACGATTCCTTGATTAATCAAGATGTTATTGAACCTAGTTATAAGATTGTATGATTGCGTTTAGCGTCATACTTATTAGATATCAAATACCTTTTTGATGAGAGGTAACCCTTAATGGATTCTTAGCTTTTGAGGGAATGAACCAAGGAGAGCGGGAACCTTATCATTAAATCGTTTCATATCATTATATAGGAAAGTCTATCTAACTTTCTATCTATCAACATAAAGTGTATCTATCGAAATATGTGCCAAACAGTTATAACTTTAAAACTTAAATTCCTGGTTTCTATATATTTTACAAACTATAATTCGTGTTTATAGTCGTATTTATCCAGTTTATTGCGTGATAACATGTTCACGGGATTTTAAAATGTCTATAAAATAAAAATAGCTATCATAATGTGAAACGCAACTTCAAGGAAAGGTGTAAAAACGATATAACTACTTTTTAATCAATTTGATGCTTAGTAGTCACTAAATAATACGGTGGAAACTAGTACTTACTGGTACTTACAGTTGGAAAATCACTAAGATATCTAGTCAGATATCTTAGTGATTTTCCAACTGTAAGTTAAACTATTTAGTATAAAATCTTGCCGAACGATCAACTACTTCCCCCCGGCCGTAACAAAACATTAACCAGTTATTTGATTAAGCCATTTTTATAAAAAACTTGAAGTCTGCTAATACAGCACCCATCTAAACATTGATTAACTAATTTATCGATTTATCGGTCTGTTAATAGGTTGGTGAAAATGTTATGGGTACACTATAAACTTCTGCAATCTGCCAGTCTCTCGTCCAGATTTAGTAATTCAGAAGTGTCTTTTTTTAATAAATCCTCGATACAAAAAATTCCAACAAGCACAAATATTTAACCAATTTCTACCCTAACATGTCAGTTCGTAACATTGACGTACCAATTAACCTTTTGTACCGTACAATGGAACCTACTAATTGAAAATGTTGTTATAGTATTAACTAAAACCTGTCACACACAAGTCCGATTGATTCCCAGTACAATTTGCTTTGAAATTTAGTGAAGCAAATATTTGATGTTCGATATATCTTACTAAATTTTCTGTCTGCCTGTGTATTGGACAAGTTTAATTGGTTCCGGGCAGACGATCAATCATAGCGATGGCGGGTCATGTCGTCGCGTCCTAGAGTGGACGCCATGATATGTGGACGTCTAGCTCTTCCTCAACCTCCAATAAATATTCCCATTGCTTTGAAACTTCGAAGAACAGAAAAATAACCATGGAGCATTGCAAAAAAATCCCTTTTGAACTAAGTAACTAATTGTATAAATAGGTGTGTTTGTGACAACTGAATATTCGAACGGACTTCAAAGAAGAAAAAAATATAAGCGGATCCAACATTAAATAAATGTAGGTACTCATAAACATATTAAAGGCTTTCTGATAGGGTCACAGGTTTGTAAACAAAGGGATACTCGTATAATGATGTCGGTATCGACAGACGGACCACATGAAACAATCTGTTCTATGTTACGTATGTAATTACATTTCGCGAATAATTAATAAGTATGCATAAATTATAGAACCAAAAGTGCAACAAATTGTTTTTTAGGACAAAATACGACTTTTATTATTGTGGCATCTTCACCTTTCGATTCCAAAATATTCACTGAAATTCATAATTGTAAACTTTGAATTCAATTTTAATTATGACCCATTTCGATGACGTTTCGAACAAGACCACTGACCTTTTCGATGACTTTTCGCCAGAACACCGGTACAACGAACAAGGAGTTCCGAAACCAAGGGTCAATTTTTACTTTTAAGTTTCTTAAATATCAGCCTGAACGTCTGCTGACAATAAACTTACCTCCTAACACATAGAAATGTGAATGCTACATTGTACTTCCTCCTCTACCGATCCTTTCAGTAAACAGCAAGGCTATAACAAATAACAATATTCTCGCTCCAAAGTTATCAATTACAGCCTCCAAAAAGCATTCAGTAATTGATATCTGTCGTTTTAGAAAACAAACTGAATAATTTATAAGTAGATACTTACTGAGTACTTAATTTTTTCGCGCGAAAATTACGTCCAGTGAAAAATTAGATTAAATTTTTCCATCACTCTTTGTAAATTAAGAAATTTTCGGTACTCTTTTTCAAAGTTGGCTCGGTTTACGCCTTAAAAGAAATGAAGGTCTAAAATAGTGAGGTCTTAGGTACCAAGATATCAGTTACGAAACAAAAACAATTAGTAAACAATACCTCTATTGTTCTGAAACATTATTATAGCCGTTAATTATTCAAAAATCTCTCTCCTCTAATTTATTGGAAAATGAGTTAGGAGATGAGAAAATTCTTTACATTTTCTTGTAGTATTGGTTTAATGATCTACATTTTAGGAATTCATTTAAAGATTTTAAAGTATACTAACATAACGTCGTGATTCTCGGTTCCTGTAGCCGCTAAATGGGTAGGCAAAGATACAGGTAACGTAGTCGGTCGACTGGTCATTACTGCAACGGTTAAGTACCTAAAAGGTACTCTTGGGTTCGATTTCCAAGTCAGTTCAGTTTAGGGCAATAGACTCACCCCTATTATTATAGGATGATGAAAAATATGTTACATGTACTA